GTATAAATTGTAGGTCTCTGCATTTGTTGGAAAAACAACAAGACGTAAAACCACAAATTGGAGAGGGAGCTCGGCCAAAACTCGCTTCAACAGTTACAAAGTGCCAATTATATAGTATATTACATATATATATATTCATACATACATATAGCATGTCACTGTTAACCCCTGCAAATGTTCAACCAAAAACATCTGTGAGGAACGCACCTACACTTGCGTCTGACCATTTTTGTCACTTTTTCTCAACCAGAAATGTGAGCTAGTTTGCCGCACAACGGTAACTACCTGGCTAACAGCTGCATTTTATGTCACTCACTCACAATGTGGGCGTGGTAAAGTGCAAATGACATTGAGTTGACAGTTGTCATGTCAGTTGCAATGTGTGCCTTTTTTTCGCAATGATTTTTTCGAAAGTCTGCAAGATTATTTTTATTCTTATTTTTATAATTTTTTTTTCATTCTTTATTTTGCTTCCTTTTTTTAACTTATTTTTATTTTGCTCTCGTATAAGTTTCAGGTCGAGTGGTTTTTCAAGGCAAAGGTAAATATGCGTGCAACAAAACCACAAAACGGAGGAAAGATTAAAGGAAAAAAAACTTTATGAGAACAAATAAAAGAGTAAAAAAAAAAGAATGAGAAAAAATAGAAAAAACAGAGAACAAAATATAAAAAATGCATAAATGGTGCAACAAAATTGAAAAAAGCAAAAAATAAAAAAAAAACACCAAACAATGACACTGAAAATACAGAGCAAAACAACAAACGAGTACACAAATTATATGTCAGTATTTAGAAATATACGTACATATATGCCTTTTTAGTAGTTAAGTTTAGTAGCTAGACAGCAGCGCAGCTTCTTTAAAGTGGACTAAAGCCGACATACATAGCTTATGTACATACATATGTTTTGATGGCAGGCGATGCAGGACAAATGTAGAGTGATGTTGCTGTGAAAGCTGTACGTGTATTTGTTTGTTAGCAAGGCCAGTACAATTGACATTTGTATACTGTAAATATTTTCAAATGCCTATTTACAGCTGCATTCCGCTTCATCATGCCTTGCGATTGGCTTGACCCATAATAAAGTATTTGCATAAACAGAAAATTTGGCGTATTATTGTATATTTTAAACAAATACATAATACTATTAAGATGTCCCGCGGAAAACGAGATTTTTTTTAGTTAATTTTTTTTTGCCTTGACACTTTTTAATTATTATTATTAAATGATTATATTTCCTCATTATACGATGGACAAAACATAAAACTTTAACTCGTTTTTAATATGAGTTTCGTTTACCGTAGCACAATCCGTTCAAGTGCTTACACTTCCGAATTTAATATGTAATTTCAGTATCATTCTTCGTGGGACATTTTATTTCAAGCACTTTCATACTTCACTTTGAGATTTAAGCTCAGTCACGTTTGAAGTGGTTGAGTCTATCCATGCGATTTAACTCTATTTTCATATGTAAGCTCAGTCTCGCTTTCTGTGGGACATACCTGTTTCTGGTGAATCATTAGCTTTAAGTACTTTAACACTCCACTTCAACACGACACCTCAGTCAAATCTTATGTGGAACAAACCTAGCTAGTGATTTAGCTATAATAACAATATATGAATTCAATATCGTTTTCCGTGGGACATCACTGGAAAGTGCTTTAATCTTTCTCATTGTGTCAACTCTTTTTCCAATATTGACGAAAATCGTTTGTTTCTATGCCAGAGGTACATATGATGCTTGCAATAGCGACCCTCAATTCCTAAAAGTTAGTGAAGACGCCGGTTGGGTGTCTGCAGCAAATGCAGTTTATCGACTTTAACTCTTGTAACAGTTGACGGGCATTTGTAGCTGCACGGCGACGAATGCGTATCTTTGTTACAACAACAAATAGTGCTCGTTCCGAGTTATGGCCGGGGTAGTGCTCACAGGTACGTTCTAGGCGCTCATATAAAGCATCTTTTATTACATGTTCCAAAAGAACTTTGCTCTGATACAGATTGTGGTGAGAAGCACATTTGCCACGGTGATTGCTGGGACTTGGCCAAAGAGTCTGTCTCACACTACAGAATTTTCGCTCTTTCATATGGTCGCCTTAGCGAATTTCATAGATCACAATCTATCAGTTTCCGACATTTTTCCGTCCATCGTACCAATAGAACTGTAACCTTGCAGACAAATTTTAGCCTTATGAGAGAGAGCATGCACTTTTTGTAAAGTGCGTCTTCTCAATTAAGGCACCGAAAATCTCAGTTGCATGTTCTCAAGGGAGTTTTGTCATCTGAGGCTTTTTGCGATCTCTGAAATGGGTGAGATGGCTAACCAAAATACTTGGTCTAAAACTTACCGCGGAATATTTTTTTCTTTTTTTTTTTATTAATTTTGGTCATTTTATTGTACTTTTTTCAAGATACACCGCAGATCACGCAAACTAAACGCTCCAAAGCCATTCACTGCTGATGTGCCGCTAATTGCAAACATCCACAGGACAATAGCAAATAAAGGATTAGAACAGAAATCGTCACGTAAGAGAGTACAAAAAAACCCAATCATCTGGCTTGGCACGTTTGATTGTATTCCTGTTACTTTGTTACTCTCGTACTCCTGCTGCGGCCCTCGCTTCTCTCATTTTAATTCTATCATTTTCTCCTTTTGCTGGCATATTTCTCGCATCGTTTTCAGTAAATTCTATTTTAGTTTTTTGTAATTTTTTATCTTTACACTTTGTTGCTGTGGTCATTAATATTTTGTTTTTTTGGTGTACTCCTATGCGCTCTTCCATGTTGTTGCTGCGAGCCGCGTACGTGCTTTGATAAATCGTTCCTGTTTTTGTGTTGTCTCAGTGCGTTCAGAGCATTAAAATGATTCTCAAGTGAAATGTTTGCATCTGCCAATCACGTTTACACGCTCACGCCATGGCTGGGTGGCGGCATATTGTATTTTGCTCTTCACATATGTATTTGTTTGTAAGTGTATATGACGGCTTTAGTTGCAAAAAAAACTGATACATCGCCACAGAGTTTTTTCTCGCCGTTATTATTTGCTATACGTGCGACATTTACCGTTAATACATTTGTGTTTTTTTCTTAACTTTTTTTGTTCTTGAATCACACGTTGCTGCCTTCCAACGCATACAAATGCGTGTATATCTAGGGTTAAAAAAATCAATTCACACACACTGAGTGTTTGGTCACTTTTATGATGGCACAAACAAAAATAAATAAAAAAAAAAAAAAAAAAAAGATATACACCCGTATATATATATTATATGATATATGAGCTTCATAATTTTATTAATAATTAAAGTTATTCCAAATTTTTATAATGTCTTAATGACAAGAAGAAACTCTTATATAACATCTTCCGAGAATATAACTAAGTTTCTATAGGATAAATTGATATGGGGTTTTTGAAAAATATTTGTATTTGCATATTTTTGATATTTTTAATTCTTATTAACTTTTTTCTATGAACGCAAAATTTTTAAAATATACTTTAAAGAAATGTTTTCGAAAATATTAAAGACATTTTTATAAATAAATATTTGCTATTTTTTAACAGTGTTGAAAAATGTTCATGAAATTTCTGTGAATTTGTAAAAATTTGAACTAAACAAATGATATTTCCGTGGACTACATTGTCGAAATTTGAATGATATTAAAAAAAATGTTATGGAATAAATTTGTCGTTTAAATTCACATAAGTGAACATATATTTATGTACTTTTTTGTGATTTATATTCCCAAAATTGGAAAATTTTGAAAAAAAAATTGTGAAATAAATTCGGAAAAATCAAAATATATTTTAATGAAATTTCCGTGGAAATAACTCACATATTTAGAAAATTTTTGATAAAAAATTTGTGGAATCAATTTATAAAATTGCCAATATTTTAGCGAATTCTGCTGTGATTTAAATTCATGAAATTTCAACTATTTTAATACAACTTTTGTGCAATTAACTCGGAAATAATAAAACAAGTTCAACCAAATTTTTGAGGATTAAATTTATTATATTTAAATTTTTTATGCAATTAATGTGGCTTAAATGGATTTTTAACGTATAAATACGCAAATGAAATTTTTGTGAAATAAAATATTAAAAATTAGAAATACCTGAACGCATTTTTCTGTTTGAAAAATTGCCAATATTTTAATGCAATTTTTATAGAATAAATTGAATAAACTAATATTAATCGGCAAAATTTTAAAAATATTAAATAAAAAACATTTTGTGATTTAAATGCTCAAAATTGAAATTATTTTAACGCAATACTTCTGAATTTAATTGTCAAAATTAAAAATATTTTATATGAAATTTCTATGTAAATTTTTATAAATTTGGATATTTTTTAATCAACATTTTTAGAAATAAGTTAATAAGGAGTGGTAAATTAAAATGTTTTTTGTGGAATAAACTAAGGAATTTTTAAGGTTTTTTTTTTAAATTAACAAAATTTCTTTTAATTACATTAATTTAATTTAAATATATTTTCTTTTTAAAATGTTCTAAAATGTTTTTTTCAATGAATGAATGTTTTTTCTAGAAATTTTGAATACTTTCTGTGTTGACATTTGGTTTTAACTTTTTTTTAATCTTTTCACAGAACTGCTGAGCTGAGTGAAATTTTCAAACAATTTATCAATATTTTTGTCATTTTTTTTTTTTGGAATTCAAAACAAAAATTCCATAAAAATCTTGTTTAGTTTATTTTTTAGAAAAATAAATAACACTGATATTTGCGCGGATAAGCTTGACCTCGGAGACATTCTATTGCTAACCTCACTTTTTTCTGGTGCTGAAATAGTTGTCCTTAGAACATGATTAAAATATTATTGATTTAGGGATATAAATTATTTTTGAAATAATTATTAATTTTAATAAAATATTTTTACTTACTACTTTAAAATAATTGTCTAATAACTAATATTTGGAAAAAATATGCCCTATAAGTGTCATATTTAATTTGATAAGTTTTCTATTTTTAACCTCTTTATAGATCCCCCGATCTGACTGTGCTGCACAGATTTACTAAAACTGCTCAACTCTGAGAGGCAGAAAAAGAAGTTTCTCATTATTCGCAGGGCTTAAAACTACCATATCTGCCTCGCCGGATAGCTCCTTTTGTGTTCGGCAACTTCAGCGCATAAAATGTTTCACATCTCCGCGCAGGAGTCGAGACTTAACAATGCGAATAAAACTGCAACAACTACAATAAGACCAACGACCACAACAACAACAATCACATCAACACCACGCACACATGGCAGCAACTCGTGCGGCGATCGCAACGCTTGTCAAACGATTGATATACGCAAATTGGCAGCGACAGCCGCGCAACTAGAGGCAGCGAGTAATGGGCAGCGCAACGGCAGCGTGTGTGCAACAGAAGCAGCAGCAGCAGCCACATCGGTGGGAGCAACACCAACAACAACAGGGAATAGCTACAAGTACAACAATTGCGGTAACAACATACAACGTAGTGGAAGTGGCAGCAAAAGCGGTAATAGCAGTGGCGGCTATGCAGCAGCAACACGATCAAGGTTAAAAGCAACAGCAACAACAGCAAATGAAATAGCAACAACAACAGCAACTAAAACAACATCACAAATAACAACAAAAACACCAACTACTAATAATCTAGTAACATTACCAAACTCAGCGGCAGCGACGAAAATGCATTCCAACAGCACAACGCCAATGGTGGAGAGCGTCGTAAGCGGCAACGCGGGCGGCGCTGTGGTGCTAAATATAGGCAGCGCCACCGATGCGCTACAACGACATGGCAGCGCACGCAGTAAAAGTAGCGCGGGTAGCGGTAGCATTGGTCAGCGGTCGACTCGCGGCAGTGGGAGTGGACGCAGTCGTAATAAGCAGCGGAAAACTAGTTCCTCAAGTGTCAAGGGTGCCGCCGAAGGTGGTGGCGTCGGCAGTGGTGGTAGCAGAACAACAAAACCTATAACAACAACAACAACAACAACAACAACAACAGCCAAGGTCGGCAGTGGTGGTAGCAGAACAACAAAACCTATAACAACAACAACAACAACAACAACAACAAATAATAATCCTATTAGCAATAAGTTAAGTGCCACTCAAGATGCGCCTGGCGCAAAGCAAGCTACTGCGGAGCGCAACACCGCGCAACGCTCAAGCAGCAAGCGAAGCGCAACTAAAGGTGGTAGTCAACAACAGCAACCACAGCGAAATAGCGGTGCACTAGATACACGCTCGCCACAACCAAGCCGCACCACGCGTCAATCGCAATCGTCATCATCGCGCGAACATTCACGTTCACGCTCACGATCCCGTTCACAACAACGCAGTGATGAGGAGCGCGCAACGCGTCCGAGTGACCGCGATGCGGCTGCCTTGACTGTGGCCCGACAACGTCGCCGGCATGGCAGTCGCAATTCATTGGTGAGTGTCGAACGTGGCGGCCAGCTCGCGGAGCGGTCAAAGAAGCGCCCAACCGAGGTGGAGGAGGATGAGGAGTCCTATACGTCGTCGTCCGGTGTGAGTTGTAATGGTTCATGTAGCTCGGATGATGGCGATTCGAACAGTTCGACGTCGAGCGGTGAACCGAATTTGCCGTATCCTGGCTTTCCGGAGATCTCCTTCTGGATCTTCACGCAGGACTCGGAGTTGCGTAATTGGTGTTTGCGGCTTATCACCAATCCATATCCTTTTCAAAGAAAACTTCAAAAAAACTTTTGTTATTTATTTATTTTATTTTCATTATGAAAAAGTAATACTGAAGGAGTTAAATGGTAAGTCAGTTATACCATTTGTTTTTATTTGTTTTTAGAATTAATACATTAAGCCAAAAATAATTTCCAAATATTTCCACGGTTTTTTAATATTAAATTTGGCCACTTCAGCGCAAGAGAATTCCATTTTCAAATCACGTTTCACCCCAACGCTATTCAAAGCATAACTAACCACCAAAACTTGCAAAGCAAGTCAAACACAAAAGAAAGAAAAAAGGAAAAGAGCAAACCTCTTACCACAATTTAGTTGATATCACAAGTGAAATCTAAGTAAAATTCTTTCACTTATTTTTCTTTTGCACTTTTTCTTTACTCTACAGCGCATATTTAGGGCAGACATTTTTCGTGCCGAAAAGTGCACATAAATCAAATAAATTAAATGTTAATCAAAAGCGATTTAGGTGGCAATCGGTTTGAGGTAAGGGAGAGAAATTTTAAAAAAAAGCAGTGACCGGAGGACAGATAAGTGAAAATAAAGAGCAGTTTTTCGTTGATAATTTGAGTGAGAGAGATGGTGGAATGAGTATTTTAAGCAAGTGAAAATGTCAAGAATATAATAAAAAAACGCAAAATATATATAAATAATTTAAGTATATTAATAAATATATAAAAATTATGTAAAAAATAGAACTAAAAATAAAGTAAAATAATAAAAAGTAGAAAAATAAAACAAAATAAAATAAAATAAAATAAAATAAAATAAAATAAAATAAAATAAAATAAAATAAAATAAAATAAAATAAAATAAAATAAAATAAAATAAAATAAAATAAAATAAAATAAAATAAAATAGAATAGAATAAAATAAAATAAAATAAAATAAAATAAAATAAGATAAGATAAAATAAAATAAAATAAAATAAAATAATATAGATAAAATTTAATTCAATTACGTTAAATAATTTAAAAGACATTAACGTAAAATAATGAAATTAAGTTAAAAGAAAAAAATTAATTAAAAAATTTATAAACTTAAATTAAATAAATAAAATGAAATAGCATTAAAAAAATAAATACTTTAAAATTTAATTTAATTTAAAAGGAAAAAAATTAATTGAAATAAAACAAAAGATAATATTAAAGTAATCAAATAGTTTATTATTAAAAAGGGGTAGATAAAAAAATAGAATTATAAAATATAAAATAAATTAAATTAAATTAAATTAAATCAGTTATAAAAATAACTTAAAACTTTGTAAAAATAGTGAATTAAGCAAAAAAATAAAATAAAAAAACATAAATAAAATACGTTTAAATTCAAGTTTTTTTTCCTCCATTTTTGTTCTTTTTGCCATTATTTCCACGCATTGCTTTTAACAAACTTTCCGTAAGCAAACAATTTGTAGGTACAACTGGTCATTCGCAAAAATTCTTCTACCTGCATGAGCATAAATAAACTCCGGCATATACGTAAAAGCGTTTATTTGTACAGTTATATGTATGTTTTCGTACATATGCTAGCAATAAATGCCAACTACCAGTTTTACTACGATTTTTCCTCATACCTTGTTGTTGTTTGTACATATTTCTTTTATTATTACATGCACCGCTAACTGCTTGAATGCTTGACTGCCAGCGATAAGCAACAATGACAACAACAACAATTCGACTCAACGACAACTCCAGCTTCAGCTGTAGCTTGTTCGTTGCCCATTGCCATTACCTTCGTAGCGCTTTGTTTGCCTTGCTACAGGTAACAGGTCGTGTTTTTTATGCAGCGGAAGCGGAAATAAAAATCAACGATAGTAAAATATATTCACTTTTTATTTTTTTATTATTTATATTTAATTTTTTTCATGCTATTTTACCTGCACATATTTTGCTGGAGTACACACACAGAATTCTACATTTGAATGGCCTGTGCTGCACGGCTGCTCTCCTTCGTATTTTATACAAGCCACCGCACACATTTGTCGTTGCATACATTTAGGGGCACCAAATAGTTGAACGAACATATTTTTATGCCTTTTTAACGCTCTCATTTTATTTACCTTATTTATTACATTTTCCAGCATTTTTAGCTAGCTCTTTTTTACTTTGCTTTAATTTTACTTCTTTTATTCACATTTTATTTTTCTTTTTATATTTTAATATGTACCTACATACGTGTATCTGTATTCAAAATATTTTTTTATATATTCCTGCATTTTATTCATAATTCTAGGTTTATTTTTATTTCAACCATTCCATGCTCAAGGCTCTTGCGTTAATTGGAGAATCTGTTGGGAATATTTGTTTACCCTTCTTTTAGCATCTTTTCATATTATTTATGACTTTGCTCGTTATTTAATTCAATTTATATAAAATTTGGACTGAACAAGGTAACATTTTTGGGGCAAAGTAAATTAAATCTTGATGAAAATTTAATTATTTTATAGATAATTAGAAAAAGAAGCAAAATAAAATAAAAAAAAATTATACAAAAAATAATTTAATTTAAAACTAATAAAATAAAATTTGAAAAAATTAAAATAATATCAAAATAGTTAAAGTAAAATAAAAAAAAAATATAAAATATATAAAAGTCAAGTAAAATAAGATAAAGTTACATAAAATGATTTCGTTAAAGAAGCAGTGAAATTAAAGAAAATAAAGCAAGACAAAATAAGAAAGTAATTAAGTAATTTAACAATATAAAATCAAATAGACTAACATAAATAAAAAAATAAAAAGGAGTAAATATAAAAAAAAATGAAAAAAAATATAAAACAATAATATAAAATTGAAAAAGTAGATAAATTTAAATGAAAGAAAAGAACTAAAAAATAGAGTAAAGCGATATAAATTAAAAAAAATAAAATTAATTAAAATTAAATAAAATAAGCTTTTATAAAAATAAAGTAAATAATTGGTTTAATAAAATAAAATAAAAAACTAATTCAAACAGAAATAATAAAATAAATAAAATAAAATAAATTAATTAAAAAAAAATAATAATGTAGTTAAAATAAAATGCAAAATAATAATGAGAAATAAAATATATAAAATTAAATAGAAAAAAAATAAATACAAAATACAAAATAATGAAACAGGAAACAATAAAATAAAATAAGAATCAAATTAAATTCAATTAAATAAAACTAAATGAACCAAAATGAAGTAGAATTAAATGAAATTAAATCTTACAGTTGTTAAACAAGATAAAATTATAATAATAAAATAAAGATCGAAAAAAACGTAATAAGAATATTATTTAAAAAAAGGACGATAGAAATTTTTTTAATAAAATTTATGTTGTAAATATTTATACACAATATTGCTGTAATGTCATGACAACAACACACTTATTTATGATGCAGCAAGCGAAATTGCTCAGAAGAATTGCCAGAGTTATAGGTAAATATTTTCAAGGATAATGCACTTGAGCACACACTTTAATCACCGCCAGCACGCATAACAGCATAAACAAATTAAGCAACATGTAAAGCTATAAGGTGTGTCTAAATGTATGTATAGTGCTAATAACGGTACTTGTGCTGTGCGCACGTAATGCACAAAATTTCAAATTTACCACCAGCTGTTGCGGTGCCACATGCTGTAGACTGCAACAAACGGTAAGACATGGCGTTATGAATACATATTAACACAAAGAACAACAATAAGAACTTAAGGAAGTGATAGCATGAAAGTAGAATTAAAGATTTATACATACATACATATAGTACATACGAGTATGTGTGGACAGTGGAAACGAGAGTGTGTCATGCAACCGATAATAGAAACAAATATGCCGCAGTGTGCGTGTATGTGTGTGCATATGTATTACTTGCTCATATCAACAACATAAAAGCAACAATAATATCACTGAAACAACATGGAGTTTGTTGCAAGTCAGCTGTTGCTGAGTACAATAATATTTTAACAACAACACTGCAGTCACGTCAATCTGTGTCTTCTTGAGCCAAACAAATCTTCTCTCTCTTCACTGTACTACTCTACTCATAACATTTAACACAAAAGATCATAATAACAATCAACAGTAGATTTATTTCATATGTATATATATATGTATGTTTTTCTAAGCAACATGCACGCACAAAACCAACAATATCAACAACAACATACAAAAATACCTTTCATGCTGTATGCATGCCAGAAGAATACCATTACAAATGAGATCCAAACAAAGTGCAACAATGTTGAAAATTTGTTTTTGTTACTATTTAGTCTACATGACTTGCATCTCTTCTCAAATATATACGTTCATATATATTTATATATATATATATATATTATAGGAACATATTTTTTTATTTTATTGTCACTCTCTCTTTTTCTTTGTTATTTTCGAACAATTCATGCAATTTTCTATTATTATTTATGCTTCATTTGTTATTGTTGTTACTATTCTCTATTCATTCAAATGTAATCTCAGTGTTTTGTTGTCCTTTCATTGACATTGAATTAAGGAGATTGTTTACGCGAGGTACCTTCTTAGAGTTCCTTCGAAATAAAGAAGCCACTCGCGTATTCGTTTTTATATATTTGAACATATGTTTATTTTAATTAACAATAATTTATAAAGGTTTTATTGTCGGGTGCAAAGTTACTTTGTCTAAATGTTTGTTTATATAATATAATTTACAAAAGATTTATGAACATAAATGAATATGTGGATATCATATATAAATATATAAATTTAATTTAGTTTTAAATGTTGTCGCCCCGTGCGCGCTTGCCGTAGTATTGATATGAAATCTCACTGGTTTGTTTGGCGAGCACGGCTTATATAGGCCAAAGGCGCATTAGGGTGTGTCCAAAATATTATGAAGGCGTCTTGTTTATCGCGCGCTTAAACAGAGATGTTGTTAGCGGTTGCTTAGAAGGAAATGGATTATTTCTGTAAATTCTAAGGGAATGAAAAAATATGAATAAAAAAAAACTATAAAATTAAATAAAATGAATTTAGG